ATCTATCTATCTATCTATCTATCTATCTATCTATCTATCTATCTATCCAAAATGGCCAATGGTTCTGGCTCTGGACTGAAATTTAATTAAAGAGAAGATTTTGAGCGATCCGTCCATTTCTTTAGAGGAAACCTTATTTTTTTTAAATTTTCTCTGAATGATTTTAACTGAATTTAATTTTCTGAGCTGGACTTGATTGAACTCCAGCTGTTTTCCAACTTATTGGATATACTTTGAACTACCTGGAAATATTTAGCAATAAATCAGATTTCTTGATGGACTAAACGGCAGAAAAGCCGATTAGCTTTAAATGTCTCCTGACTTCTACTCATCTGAGTCGGATAAAAAGCCTTTGTTGGGCTCTTTTTGTCAGAAATGTGTCTATTAAAGGGTTTTTCCAGATGTCCATTCAAGTGGACAGCAAATGTTTTAAGATTTGACACAAATTACATTTTTATGTAATAATGTGAGGATTTTTTTACATTTTTACACAGAGTTAAAAAACATAGAACTCTGCTCTCATCATATTATAATATTCTCTATTATTTTCCTCCCTTTTCTCCCTCCTGCTTCATTTATTTAAATCCATCTCAGCTCCTCTTCAAAAGGATTTTATGGACATTTTTTTGCATTCATAACATAAAAACCCATAAATACACAGAAGAAAAAGGCTTTTAAATAGCCTTCCGCTGTAATAACCGCTAAGCATGAAATGGTTAAAGCAGTTTTTCAGGTTTCATCCCATAAAATCCAGTAAAATGTGCTCAGAATAAACTAAATCTAGTTGTTTTTGAGCGTATTCAGATCCTGGAGTGGTTCCACTGGTGGGAATAACGAGCCTTATAGAGGATGGAAGTACTCAGAAGTCTGTCTGATCTCAGTGAGTTTTATTTAGAGCCTCGCTTCTTTTTCTTTTGCCTTTTCGGGCTCCCAGAGAGGCAAAAACAGCTGGATTTCTTCTTCTATGACCTTAAAGCTACAGTCAGACTAACTGCAGGTGAGAATGACTCTAAATCTCTTCTTTAAAATGCCACCCCCCCCACTCATTGTGTAGATAAGAGCTGGATAGCCTTGAGGATGAGGGGAGGAACGTCTAAAGACCCAAGAAGAAGAAAAAGAAGGAGTCCAGCTGGCTTTAGTCGGAGGATTATTATGACCCGGATGATCTACACCAGCCTTGATTTCACTTTCCTAAAGATTTGTGTTTGCTTGTGTTGTCAAAATGTGGTGACTTTTACTCAAATTGTAGACAAAATGAGCCATTTTATGATGAAAAAATGTTATAAAATGTAATAAACTATCTACAAATCATCTGCTAATTGGATTTTTTAAAATTGTGTAAACCAAAAAACATGTTTCCAATCATTTTTAACACTTTGAATGACATAATATAAATGAGAGATGTGGACAAAAGGAGCCATTTTACTATGAAAAAATGTTTAAAAAAATGTAATAAACTATCTACAAATCATCTGCTAATTGGATTTTTTAAAATTGTGTAAACCAAAAAACATGTTTCCAATGCTTTTTAACACTTTGAATGACATAATATAAATGAGAGACGTGTCTTTAAACCATGAGGGGACTTGATGATGGGTATGAGCATGATGACCTGCTGAAAAGTGATTTTTTTGTGTTGTTTTTGTTACTAAGTTTGACTGGTAAATCTCTTTTTGTCTTTATAAAAATACATTTATGTCTTCAACACCACGTGAAACGTGACATAATGAAATCATTTGCATTTATTCCCTCTGTGAGTCAAACTTAATTATTGACATTATCACCACCACTTATTTAGACCTATATATATACATATAGTTATTTATGTATATATTTA